ACCAAAAAATGGCCAGGCATTGTGCTAGGCGCCTGTGGTCCCAGCTACTTGGGAGGCTGAGGCAGGAGACTCACTTGAGCCCAGAAGTTGGAGGTTGCTGTGAGCTGTGATGCCATGGCACTCTACCCAGGGGGACAGCTTGAGGCACTGTCTCAAAAAAAAAAAATAGAAGTTATAAATTTTGATGAAGTCCAACTTATTTGTTGTTTCTCTTGCCACTCAAGCTTTAGTGTTGTACAAGTATGTGAGAATCCATTGCCAAATTCAAGGTCATACAGATTCACATCTATGTTTTTCTCTAAGAGTTTTATATGTGTAGCTGTTACATTTTGGTTCAACTTTTGTATATGGTGTGAGACAGAGGTCTGACTACATTCTTTTGGACGTAGATATCTAGTTGTCCCAGAACCATTGGTTGAAAGGATTATTTTTCTTCATTTAATTGTCATGGCACCATTGCCAAAAATCAGTTGACCATGGACCCATGGATTTATTTCTGGACTCCTAATCCTATTCCATTGATCTATATGTCTGTCCTTATGCCAGTGCCACTCAGATTACTGTAGCTTTGTATAAATTTTGAAATCCAGAAGTGAGTCCTCCAATTTTCTTCTTTTTCAGTTGTGCTTTGGCCATTCGGGTTTTGGGGTCAGCTTGTCAATTTCTACAAAGAAGCCATCTGGGATTCTGATAGAGATTACACTGAACCTATACGTCAATTTGGGAAGTATTGCTATCTTTACAATAGTCTTCCAATCTGTAAAGATGAATTGTTTTCTCATTTATTTATATCTTTAATTTCTTTCACAATGTTTGTGGTTTACAGAATATGAGTTTCATGTTTCTTTTGTCAAATTTATTCCTAAATGCCTGATTCTTTCTGATGCTTTTTTTTTTTTTTGTAGAGACAGAATCTCACTTTATCACCCTCATTAGAGTGCCGTGGCATCACACAGCTCACAGCAACCTCCAACTGCTGGGCTTAGGCAATTCTCTTGCCGCAGCCTCCCAAGTAGCTGAGACCACAGACGCCTGCCACAATACCCAGCTATGTTTTTGTTTGTACCCACCACCCTTGGTATATGGGGCCGGCACCCCACCCACTGAGCCACAG